TTTCCATCTGTCGTGGTTCTCCTATTGTACTTTTTTGCCCAGTAGGGGCAGTAGAATGAAACTAATGTAAGTATGGAAAATGGCCTAGGCATGAGTAACAGAGAGATTAGCCTCTGTGCCAAAGGTTGGGGAAGGGAAGAGAAATTAATCTTTTAAAAAATGAGTCTTCCTCTCTTCAACTGTGGGAAATCATATACGCTTTCCACTTCCATCCATTCCACCTATCCTCCCCTGGTCTAGCAGAATGAAACTTACCAGGATCACCTCAGTTTCATATCACAGTTCCTGTCTCCACTGTGTGCAGAAACAGTAGAGCATTCAGAATTATTGGAGAGGGAGAAAGTATAGGAAGGTGAGAAGAGGGGAAGATGGAATAAAAAGCACGGTAAGACAAATACATTACTAAGGCAGCCTTCCTCTTCTTTGTGGTGTGGGAACACATGAGAGTTTAGGATAAAGCTTGGTCCTTCACAATCTATGCCAAGAAGGTTTTGGAGCACTACAGAGACAGAGCACTCAGTCCCTGGGAATAGGATGTGCATAAACACTTAAAATTAAACACTTGTATTTTATTTTTGTTTCTTGCAATTTGATACTTGGAGAGCAAGGAATTGAGATGCTGAAGGTCAGTTGCTCACAGTACATGCTCACATCTGCTCTGGATCTCAGGGCTTGATAACTTCGGTCTCTTTTGTGTTTTGACAATTCAGTGACGTTGCAAGTCTGGGTCTTTAAAAAGCAAGCCAGACTCTTGAAATGCTTTTCCAGAAATCACATCAGAATTAGAAAGCCAGATGTTTTTACCTCCTAAACAATACTGACAGACTACTTCGCTCAGATTCCTCGCACCCTTTGCTTTCTGACAGGCTAATGGACGAGTTCTTCTATGTGCTGATACTCAGCAAAGCTTAGCATTATTACAATCCTTTGTTTTCAAGTGGCAGCTTGCCGAGGTCAAGGGTGTTGGTGGCACTTCATACATTAATAAAATAGCCAACCAAATAACCCTAAATATGAGAAATGTGGTAGGCTTGAGCTTGGTGATATAGGATTATGGTTGGGAAGCCATACTGGGAGTAGAAGATATTTGCAGTGGTATTGCAGTATATGTGAAGCAACAGACTGATCCTGCTTCTCATAATCTTAACTCCACAAATATTCAACGGGGTGGGGTTGTGCGCACATGTGCATACACCCCCCCCCTTTCCATAATGACCTAGTGAAAAGATATCTAAAAGTCAGCACCATGCAGTTGATTGTTTGTCTGCCCTCGAAATTTCTTTTCTGTTTTAATTATTAAAAGAATAGCTGCTGACAGGAATGGAATGGAAGACATGCCTGGTTTATTATGACTTTTGGCTACAAGTCAATAAAGTATCCATCAGACTCTGGCAAAATTTGTGGACAAACTAATTTTCAATCTGGTTGGAAAAACTTAGCTGATTCCGATGTTTGTACTTGTATTAAATTTAAACAATGCACATTTGGTGCTTTTAAAAAAATTGGTAGACAGGTTTATATAATTTAATTTAAAAAAAAATTAGTGTTCTGTTTGAAATACTGAGTACTATCATTTCTGATACTGCTCCTTCCTCCTTTCAGATGTCTTTCTGATCTGTAACAGTGAATGTTCTGCATTCGTACTTGTGCAATTCAGCATGGACTGATTTAAATGAAAGGAGGAAAGTAACTAAAAATAGTCCTAATAGCTGTACAGCTGACTTAATTTGCTGAAATTTTATAGCCATCTTTTGGAAGCTGCATATGTGCATTTTTAAACAGTAAATTGACATTTCAGGGAGACTTAACCTTTGGGTTGTTAAGCATTGTATGCTTATCAATTTAATTGGAGAAGTTTTTAAAATGGTAAAAGTATTTCAGAAGACCTGTAATTTGGGTCTAGAAGTAGTGAATCTATAAGAATAAATAAGATCTCTTGTTTAATCACTTGCTTTATTAGATATTGAAATTGCCAAGTGCATTTCTTAAGTAGGTACCCTGAAAGCTGCTATAGAGGGACTTCAGTCAAAACAAGTGAGAACCAAGCATAAGAGGATCTGTCACTTATACGTTAGAACCCAAATTCTGCAAACCTTTGTGTGTCTCAGCCCATTTTTTCCTGGTTAGACAACCAACTGTTTTGTTGGTGTGGCGGGTGGGGTGAATGGAGTGGAATAAAATTGATAAACAAAACTGCCTTTCTTTGCAGTGAAAATAATGGATGGGCTTGGAGTTTTTTTTGCTATCCCCCGACCTCCTCTTTACCCCATAATGATTGTCAATACACTGTACACGTTTGCTTTTTTGCTTAGTATGTAAGGTGGTTAGCGTCAATTAGCTACTACTAAAACTATAATTCAGTTATTTATTGCTAGTCATTTAATAAGATGTCAACTTATACTGTGTGTTGATTTTTCCAAAATAAATTTCTCCTTCCTGGTAACAGTAGTGTGGTAAAGTCTCTTGGGTGGTCTGTGGGCCAAAAGGGGAGTCAGAACAGCAGCCAAAGGTTAGAAATGAAAAAGACCTTGTAGCTCATCTTGTCTATCACCCTGCCAATTCAGCATCGTTACCTACAGTATATGTTCTGGTATTCCATTGCATAGTTTTAAATGCCCAAGCAGGGGTGCTTCCATCACTTTCTCTGGCAGCATATTCCATAGCTTAATAGTTTTGTTCTCAGGAAGATTTTTTCCTGATAATCAGCCCGAATATCCTTAAAAGGGTGTAGATACAGCGATGATGCAGTTACAGCTTTTGGTAGGGGAAAATACTTGGAGAAGTTGAAATTCATGGGATCTTGGTATTACGGTTTTTTGCACATTTTACTTCCTGATTACATCCGTGTTTAGCAAGGTTGGGGTGGGGGTAGAACCTGGTAGTTTTGATTTATTAGTGTATATAATTCAGTAATCAAGGTCCTGTGTATCCTGTATCACATTAGAACCAAATTCTGTGGCAAGGGCCCTTAAATTCAGCAGCAGTATTATTTACTCATCTCCTTAAAATCTCGTCACTCCCTTCCTTTCCACTTCTATAAAACTCAGTGAAGGCTCACAGAATGTAAATTCAGTGATTTTAATTTGATGGGTTTTTTTTCGTTATGCTCTCCAGGTTGCCCATTTTCATAGAACTTAGCTCCCATGATGTCCAGACAGTCCAGCTCAAACCTCTTCCTCCTCCCACCCAGTTGTGTGCCAGAGGAGAGCTGTATTTGTGCATATGTATACAATTCTATTCTGGTATAATACGTTTTCAAAGATGCAATATTGTGAAAATTAGACCTACAGGTGCACTAATAATTTTTAGTAAAATTTTAGGCTGGTATACATTTCTTTTCAGAATTTTAAATGAGAGGAATCTGTTCCTTTTGGGACCGATTCCAAAGCAGTATCTCTCATCTGTGTTTAGTAGTGGTCCTGATAGGTTATCAAGTATGTATCGGTCATACAGTGTGCTGCAAGTGACTCGCCATGGTGGAATATGAGAGCATCAAACCAAGGACTGGTGCCAAACTCAGGAGCTGCTATCTGCTTTATCTTCCTGCTGGAGTTTGAAATGGAGATCTGGCTTCAGTGCCAAAATTAATAATTCAAACTGAAGGGGAGACGCATGCTTAACTGTCAGAAGTAGCACACTGAATCTCATGCATTAGTCATGGGCAGTCTGAGAATAGATGCTATATAGGTGCAGATATATTTTTATAGTCATGAAATAGGCTCTGTGAAAGGCCCTTACAGCTTTACAGATTCTACTTGAAGGCCTCTGTTATAAGATACTGGGACTCTGTAGCAGAGTTATTTCTCTCCATTAAACCCTACTCATTATTAAAGGGTGGGACATGAGGACAAATTTCACTTTCTTACGTTCCAGCCTTCCCATAATAGATGTACTATCAAAAAATCCTTTGTAGTGGCTTAGATTGCATCAGTGTTTCAGGTGCACAGCTGGAGTCAATAGGAGAACTGTTACTATTGAATATTGCCTCTTCCATAGAAACTGATTTTGGATTGGCAAAAAATGAAGTGTTTTGACATTTTGGTGTATTAGAACTACACATTATCAGCTGTATTGGTGATAGTCTTGTGGCTAAGGCCTTATCTGCACTTGCTTGGTTTTTGCGTCGACACAGATGTCTAAGTGCAAATGCCTAGTGTAGTCATGATTTGTACCAGTACAGCAGTTTTGAGTCCCTTTGCTAACTCTTTTTCAACCACTAATATCAGGAAGATCAAGATGAACTTTTTCAATCTCAAAGCTTTAATTTTCTCTTCCTTGGGAGATACAGGTGGGGAGCTTGTTCTAACTTTGGGGGCTTTTTTTTTTTTGGTTTATGGATGAGTGTGGAATGTTTTGAAAATAAAGGTTTGTCTTATTAACCATGTCTCTTTTTTTCATAGTTTCTGTGCTCATCAATAAAGCTTCCCCCTTCTGTTTTCAGTCTCTCATTGTGCTTATGCTGCATATTAGGGTTGCACCCGTACAGATGCAAAATTTGGGAGACAGCAGGAAGTACAACCTTTGATTATGTAACAGTTTTGAGTTCTTCCTGCACACTTTCCACTCTGTGGTTGAACAGACAACTCTTGGCATGAGGATATTAGAGAAACAGAGTTAAACAAAACCCACATAATTTCAGCTTCTTTAGAACACAATGGAAAAAAGCTTGTGAGTTTGAAAAAGAATACAATCCAGTTTGTTTTGTTGTGATATCAGACAAAGACTGCCCGCAACTTCACACTTTCTGGCTGCCACTTTTTTGCAACATTACTAAAGTTATTTAAATGAAGTGTAGGATACGTATTGTGCACCAAGACTTGCATTAAATTGCAAATGTATAATTTTTTGTCTTAAATGTGTTTAGAAGGTTGGATTCAGAGTTGACAGGTCTCTAAGAATCTTATTTTTTTTCCAAGTCCAGTGCGTTGCTGTTCAGCACCTAGACATGTAGGTTTTAAATCTTTCCAATCTAATTATAAATCCCTTTTTGTGTCTTTCAGCAAACGAGGATTCAGTGTTCGATCCTTTGGAACAGGGACTCATGTGAAACTGCCAGGACCAGCACCAGACAAGCCGAATGTTTATGATTTCAAAACAACATATGATCAGATGTACAATGATCTGCTTAGGAAAGACAAAGAACTGTATCCCCGTGGAATGACCTTTTTAAAAAACCCTATATGGTTCATCTTTGAAAGGTGTAATTCATTATTTTGCATAAGGAATACACAGCTGCTTGACTGGCAAGAGCTTTGTTTTAAGGTTCTAGGCAGGTGTTTCACATTCTGTTAGGATCTCTAACACTCCCCTTGTAACTTGCTATTGAGTTATAATGCATGCATTCAAAATCCTCTTGTATAGTAAATTAACATACTTAGTTCTTGAACAGAACTATGAATATTTTACACCTTCATCCATGAACTGCACTGCACTGTGGGCTATGTTTTCCCAGTGCAGAGCCCATTCCTGGCAATGGGCATGCCAAGAGCTGCCACCAAAAGAATGAAAATCATATGTAGCTCAGTCAAGCAAACAGGTAAAGTTTAGAGTAGACTAGTGGCCTAAGGGGAGAGAACATAATCCATCAAATATTTTCTCTTCTCATCAAGAAGCTAATTGTTAATTTCTGGTTTTGGCTGTACATCAAAAACATATTCCTTAAGTATATTTCCAAGAATGGGCACAGAAAGCCCAATTAAATGTGAGGTTTACTCCCAAAGACCAGAGGTGACAAGGGTCAGGCACACTACCTTTCTTCACATCAGCCATGAGCACACAGTATTTTAGGACATCTATACTTTATATTTAAAACAAAAAAACCCCAAACACATCTTTAGTTTGCAAGATCAGGGCACTTGTTTGGGGTCTTGTTCTCTACGCAGGATCTGATTTTTAATATTAAAAATATAATTTGGTGTGAAAGGGAAAACTAAATTTATGTAGGTTTTGCTTATTAATTTCTAATGGTAGATTACAAGGCCCTTGTTACAAAATGTGATGCCTCTGAAGCGAGTCTGGATAACAAGGTATAATATGGCAGTCTGTCCCATCCTTTATTGTTGCGTGACCTAGATTTTTAACTTCTAGGGAGCTGCATAAAAGTAATTTTGGATCAAATTAGTAAAATCTTGCTAATGTTAGATTTGATATCTATCTTCTATAGCTATCTGGAAATGGCAGCTAAAATGTTATCTTTTAAATATTTATTTTTAATATCTTTTGAAGCTTCACTATTATATAACTAAACAGTTTATTTTTGTATGGCTGAAATTTTTCAGTTTTTTTTTTTAAAAAGGCTGAGAACAGGCAAACAGGCACTAGATGAAGATTAGAAAATGGGGAATACAGTGAAACCTATTTTAAGTGGCCACCCAAGGAATCAACAAGTTCAGTAGCCCAGTAGAAGAGATGGGCTTTCAACTATTGGTTCAACAAAATTGTGTACTGCAAGACTTGAGTAGACTTTTAAAATTGTGTTAAGACATGGAGGAGGTCCTTAGTGCAGGTTTCACTGTGGCTTGATTTGAGTCAGCAGGTTTTTAGTTGTGTATTTGCTGACTAGAAAACATTAAATTTGAGCTCCATAAGACCCCAGTAGTGGTGGTTTCTTTCGTGTTGAGTTTTCTGAATGTACTCAGCTAAGACGAGCAGCTCCATAAAGCTGTACAGTACAATTAAATTTGATACTATGTTGGAAATTTCCTTCCACATGGTTTTCCCCAAAACGGATATCCATATTATGCAAGGACATTAGGGAACCCAATTTCTGATGAAAAGGCTGAGTAGCAGTATCTTTTAAATTTGAAATGTAGGGCATCCATTGAATCGGTACATAACTTAATTTTGTATGATCACATCTTTGGTGAAGAAAAGGGATATTTCCCAGCCAATCCATCCTCTAATTGAGATGGTGCACATCTCAATGCAAACACTTTTTTCCCCCTTCAAATAGAGGACTGTTTGAATTGTGCAGTCTTCATTCTCAAGCACTTAAGAATTTGCAGTGACTACCACTTTGCCTATTCTGTTGTATTGGGAACGTAGTACTGTTTTAAGATACAACAAAATTAAAACACATCTGGTCCTCTATCCAGTATCTTCTCTGGAGTTGCCTTTTGAGCTCTGCTCCACATTAGAGGCGGAGTGGCTATGCTCTGAGCCACAGATACTTATGCAGAGTGACATTGAGCACTCCTTTCTATTTTGATTTTCCCGTTTAAGCAAAAGCCCAGTTTGGGGTGGGGAAGGAGTTATGTCTGTATATTTTATGCCCTCAAATGTTGCAAATTCAAGTTCTTTGAAACAGATATACTTTTTCAGTACAAAAGGCAGCTCAACTTCCAGACTCTGGGTGAGTGGGTAAGTTCTTTCCTAAATTCGTGAAAACCAGAGACCCCTCTTGTTCCTGCCTGTGAGCCAAGGAGCAGCTATCTTTGGGACCATGGCATTGTTGGACTCAGTTAGGGCAGCTGATTACTCTTTGAGGGGGGGAAAGAGGTGCTTTGTCGTAGGGTGGGAGGGAACTACTTTTCCTTTGGTGTCTCAAAGGGGATGTGGGAGAAGGAGGGGGTCCAAATTCCTTGGCTTGTCCTTATGCTCCCCAAATCCTGCTATCTTCAGTTAAGTGGGGAGAACTGCCACCTTCAGCCTTTCCACATTGTCTGAAACAGCCGTTCTTAGTGACAAGGGCCAGTTTGTGTATCTCATTACCTCAGTATGGGAATATAGGTCCAATGCAGCACAGTGTGCTCCTGTGTTTAGGAGTGACTTCGTGCTTGAGTTCTGTAGGCCAGTGGGGAGATACGTGCACTGTGGACACTTGATATTCAGTAAGTAGTTTTGGCTAAACTACTCCAGCCCATCATCTGCTAGCCAGTCAACGAATTGATAACTGCTTCGGAAAGCAGCCGTCCCAACCAGGCCTGAAGTTCTACGATGGTGTGGACATCAGTCAGCTGAGGTAAAAAGCGGCTTAGAATGGCAAGGTGTGTGAAAACTCTTTTCTCTATCAGTGGTGGGGAGGAGGGAAGAACAACAAGAGAATCCACACTTATACAAAAATAAAAAGCATCTGGATTGCACTTAAATATATATTAGTGCAAATTCTCAAGTGTTATAGCTGTAGGTTATAAACCTTTCCATAAGTAATCTTCCACACTAAATGAGGACATATTTACAAATGTAGGTACTTCTCTGTGTTATAGGTAGAAGAATGAGAAATACTTTCAAAAGAGTAGCTTGTTAAAAAGGAATGCTTTTAGTTCAGAAGGAGTTGGGGATGCAGAAGTAACGAAGCTAGGCTCTGCAGGGATATACATGTAGTACTAAGAGATTAGTGTTTTAAAATTAAAATGAAGTCAAACACTTAAAATGAAATAAACATAGTTGTCAAGACTAAGTAATCAGGGCGGCTGTTGCTATGTAGGAGAGATTCAGCTGTTTAAATTCCCTCAGCATTACTGGGAGACGAGTAGCAACATTTTCAATAGTATTGAAGTCCCTTAGTTGCCAAAGTCCTGTTTTCATAAGCCTGTAGTGTAGACCTATCATACGTGAACATACTTTGTCACTCGGGGGTGTGAAAAAACTCTCCCCCGCGTGATACAAGTTGCACCGACATAAGAGCTCCTGTGCATAGCGCTATGTCCACGGGAGAGCTTCTCCCACCGACGTAACTTCTGCCACTTGTCGAGGTCGTTTTATTATGCCAACAGGAGAGCTCTTGTGTTGGCATAGAGCGTCTTCACCAGACCGCAGCAGCGCTGTACGTATAGACATCATCTTAGCTTCAGAAGTGCCCGTCACCTTTGAAAATAGGATTTTAGATGCTTTTGAAAATTATGCCCCAGACCCTGTTAAAGGTTAGCATACAGAGTCAGATAAGTAGAATAAATATGAAACAAGATGACATACAGAAAATAGTAATTTTATGTCCATATGTTTAATCTGAAAAATACCTATCAAAGAGTCCATGACAGGAGACAGAAATATTGGTACCAGTACCTGTGTGCCAAATACACTTGTTCTGTAGCCCAGTCTGTTACTAAAATATAGCTCCAAACTTTTATATTCACCCTTTTACTACTAAGAAACCATCTGTGTGGGGAAGGGAAACCCACTTGTGGACTCAATTTTGAATCTGCTCCTGCAGATACCAGCAGTTAACTAGAAATAGATCTTTAGTTATTGAGCATGTCAATTTCAGCCATACTGCCTTTTGTCAAATCCCTCAGGTAGGGTCATGCTTCTGCAGGCCTTGATCTGCTCCTGATGGAATTTAGTGGGAGTTTTCTCATTTGCTTTAATAGGACCAAGCTCGTAGTTGGGAGCCTTCCAAAGAAAACCCAAGTGATGCGGCAAATATTGGTGATCGATAGGTGGCATTCTTTCCTCTGAGTCCATATTAAAAAGGGAATGGAAATGTTTAATTTAAAAAGGTCCCAAATTCTTAGCAGAAATTCATGTGCAAATATAAAAACTGCAAATACATGTTAAAATTATCTGTTTTATTTGTAATTTAAATCTACTATTTCATTAAGCTTTGGGATCTAAACCACAAAAAATCATTTTAATTAAAACCAATGCCTCATATGGTGTTAGCATCCCCAGTAGGACATTTTTCAAATTTTCTTTTAGATGAAAAGTAGAATCAAGGTCCTCCTGACAACTTATAGTCACTTATGGCTCTTTCTTTTCCTCATCCTTCCCCCCCCCCCCCCCCGTTCCCTCCCCCATGAGAAATGTTAATGTCTGTAGCCTGGCCAAAATCCAACTTTTTAAATTATATTCTGCCTACCTAAATTCTCCTTGAAGTTTCTCATGGATATAGATCCTCAAACTTTATATTGGCAACCCCTTTCAGACAGCAACACCCTCCCCCCCCCTTATAAATTAAAAACAATTTTTTATATTTAACACTTTTAAATGCTACATTTGTAACCTTGTTTAAAATGAATTTACCTTTTCTCACCCCTTTTAAATTGACTAAAACATATTTTTTTCTAATTATACTGGGAGGAAGCAAAAAAAAAAAAAAACTTTCCACAGCAGACTTAGCACCCCATTACTTTTACTTCGGCGCTGCTGCTGTTGGCACGTGCTGTCCCAGAGCTGGGCGGCTGGAGAGCGGTGGCTGCTGACCAGA